ATAAACAGGGTGAATCACTAAGTTATTGGCATATTATCCAGCCACGGTGTAACTAATTGTAACAACAATTTATTTTGTATTTTTGGTTTCACACCATAAGTTCTTAGTGCGACAAATATTGTATTCATTTTATGTTATCAGAGAACAAACAAACCCCAAAAAGTGATTGTGTATTAAATATGAATGTGATTATAATAAATATAATAATGTTTTATTGAATTCAGGTAACTTCGTAATTAATCATTTTCTTGGGCTTAAAATTGATACAGATTTTCCATTACTACGGCAGTGAAGTTAGCCTTAAATTTCATCCTAGGTGTTATTAAAAAGTTCTTAAAAAGTCTTAAATTTAACTCAGAGAATCCTGGGGGTACCCTGCAAAAGCACGACTCAGAACCAGGCAGTAAGCAAACAAATCTGGTAAGGAGTAGGCTGAGGCAAGGTCAGAAAATAGTATAACGACGAAACACTGGCAAACTCCTGGAACACTAGACATGAAGTACTACAACAAACTGGCACAGAGACGGGAAGGTAGCCCCGCCCTAAAGCCTCCCCTGCTTTCTAGTCTATTTCCCTCTAAATGGGACCATAATTTACTAAATGAACATCATGCTGTATTGAAGAAGACTTGAAACTAGCGACCGAGACCATAAACTCATTAGGAAATTGTTTACTGAGGTAAACTGAGGTCCAGACCTCTCAGATGGTCAGGATCAGGTCTGCTTACTGTCCCTAGAGGACCTCTCCAGATGCTGTCTTATCTCTCTTTTTGTATCTCCACTTTTTTGTTTTTTTCTCGTTGAGCTGCTCTTTTCTGTACGATTGAACCACCACTTTCCGTTCTTTACACTGCAGGAGTGCTAATCGTCTGACCACACAAGCCTCAGTAACTCATCTGTTAGTTCAGTGAATCCGACTGAAGTACCCAGTCACGCTTAATAAAGCAAGACATCCATCCATAAGCTTTTCTCTGCCTCCTGTGTGAAATGCCTCTCTGACTAGGTGAGAGGACACCCGGAGCCATCACTTTGGCCGAACGAGTTCACGTCGTCAAATTTAGCCGACAAACGCTGCTCTGCATCCATAACTAACAGAGAGTTCCGTCACTTCAGATGCTGCTTAAATGGTTTGTGAAGGTGGTTTTCATGACATATCCTCTGTGCCCCCATCACTCCCCAACTCTCCCTCTTTCCTGCCTGTCGACTGGGTGACCTGAGCTGCTTCAGGTTGTAATAACTCATGAATGAAGAGCCGCTGGCTGCCGGGGAGCTAATTTTAAACTCTCCCTGAAATGGCAAGAATTTTAAATGGTCCCAAAATGAAGGTCTAGACTGCACTGCCCTGCTGAGGAGCTGTGACAGAGACACAGCGAGGAGGAGGGAAGTAATCGCGACCACTAACTCACAAAGTTCACGGCCATGTGAGTGATGGATACTGATAAAGAGAGGCTATTTCTGGAAGCTGCCGGCTGAGTCGTGACTTGGAAAGATGATTCCCCCCCCTTCTCTAACTCACCTGTAGGAATAAAATAGAAGCTTTAGAGATATTTGTACACAGCCACAGAAGAAGCCTTGTGAGGCCGGCTGGTAGAGTTTCATGACAGGTGGCTCACCTTCATGACTGAACAAAATCAAACATTGTCTGACCTGTCATATGCAATCAGGGGACAACTGGTGCAACACTGCTTTCAAAATTATTTTAATGTGATTTGTTGACATATTTATTGTTTTGGGGGTGACTGTGCACAAGTGCATGTTGAGTATTTATTAAATGTAAATGCTCTGTATTTGTAGAGCGCCTTTCTAGTCTTCCGACCACTCTAAGCGTTTTTACATCGCATTCACCCATTCAAACACCGATGGAACAGCCATCGGGGGCGATTCGACACGCTGAACCGCCGATCTTCCAATTAGCAGGCAACCCACTAACCTCTGAGCCACAGCCTGCATTACTAGTACTGTTTTTTTTTGTTTGTAATTCAGGCACGGCACAGCATACCTGTACATAAACTTGTGCAAATCTATTCTATTCATCTATCAAGCGGTTTCAAAGCTAAATGTTACTTTATTTTTTAATGACAAACTGACTTTTCTTATATTATCTTCTAAATTGACAAACATAATGGGTGTAATCCAGGAGTCAATTTGAACGGAATTAAAAAAAAGTTCTGTTACCATTGACTAACATACATATTTTTTCTGAAATAAGGTCTATGGGGCAGAAGGGAGGGAGGCTCTCTATTAACCAGTATTATTTTAACCAATAATATTGTGTCTGACGATTTCCGGATCATGAAATTGCAGCTCAGCAGCTCGCTAACAACTGCTGGTCAACATTGTGTTTGAGCCACCACAAAGTTCATCCTTACGGACTTGTCTAACAACAGAGACAGAAAATGTGTCAATGAGAACAAGTGCATGATGAATTTAGCTGCATTAAAACACAGTGAAGGTGATCAGACAGCAGGATTCACTTTCTCCTAAAAAAAAAAAAATAGCGTTTGTGTGAAACAAGTTAAATGCATCACTAAAATCCCATTGAGTGTCTACATTCACAAAGCCAAAGTTACTGGACATGTTGATTTATTGTTTAATATTTCCCACCCGACACGCGGGAACATGTTGGCATGTTTAGTAGTCCTGATGCTGATGTGGAAATCTGTGCTGCCATGTGAGTGGGGGGGGAGCTGTGTAGGCCGAGTGTTTCACCATCTGTCATCTTTCCCAGGCTGCTGGTCGTCCACACACCACGTGCAGGTAGGAACATCTGTCTGTCTAGCTGTTTCCAGGTGTCACTCTGCTTCTCCAGTCCAACCTGCCTCTTCACTGTCAGCTGAGATCAAAGTACGTCAGGGAACCACACACACACTGTAAACTGCAGGTTGAGATGACTGTGATAGAGTTATCAGGTCATGATGTTCACTTGAAGGAATAGTTTGACATTTTGGCAGGCTTGTTTATCTATATTTACAAGGACAAGGTCCAGCCGCCCCTTTCTGCTCCTTCACACTGGGGCTCAGAGAGAAACAGCTGTATGAGTCATCACACACGTGTGGAGTGCGACTGAGAAAGATGGTATGATGCCTTTTCATTGAAGGAATGCTCATGATCAAACATCAGAACCTGCAGTGAACAGAGGCACACAGAATTACAACAAGAACATCTGCTTTGGTTGTTTTGAAAGGAGGATTCTGGTGGCTTTGAATGTTTCAGTGTCCTCCCTACAAATCATGTTCTCCACATCACTGTCGACATTCTTAGCAACATGGCTCTCTTCTCAGTCTGACAAAAGTACCTGGAAACTTCCACATTACTTTTATGACATCCCATTTTGGATCCATAGGCATCAAAATGGAATTAGTCCCTCCTTTGCAGCTGTAACAGCTTCCACTCTTCTGTGAGGGCTTTGAGTATTGTTTCCCATTCATAAAAAAAAAGCATCTGTGAGGTCAGACTGATGTTTGACAAGAGGGCCTGGCCCGCAATCTCAGTTCTAGTTCATCCTGAAGGTGGTGAATAGGGTTGAGGTCAGCGATCTGACTGGGCCACTGGAGTTCCTCCACACCAAAGTGGGAAAATCATTTTCTCATGGAGCTAGCTTTGTTTTATTGAAACTTGCGTCTCTCCATGCATCCTCGGTGGGCGAGACGCAAGGAAACCAAGCCAGGAGAGAAGGAAGGAGAAAATATGTTTGTAGAGACATGAGACCACCTTTCCTCCGAAGCGTCACTAAAGCGACGTCCTTTTCTGATGACGGCAGCAGCTGATTACAGGTAGATCAGCTGTCAGTCTAACAGCTTTAAAGACTTTTGATGGAGTTTGTGTCTACATACATTTGCACTGTGTTGGTACTAATAAAGTCTCTTATCACTGCAGAGCATGATTCTCTCTATACATGTTAACTGTTTAACACCTGCACATGAATAATTATAGGTTGCTGGACATCCTGCTCAGAGGCACAGGATAATTTCTACTGGCACATTGCTTATATTATGTGCATTTATATTTTTAATTCTGAAGAACTAACTAACTTCTGAAATAAAGTTGTGTGTGGGGCCTTTGTTGTTCAGACTTACAATGAACACAGATTTTCAATGAATCATAAAACAACTCAAATATAGGCTAACTTCTTCTACTTTGCAGTGATACTCTTGAATTTAATCTGTCCTGATGTATCAGATCAGTCCAATCAGCTGCAGCAGCCAATCAATATAATGGCTACCCAGTAAGGCGGTGTGCCGGTCATTAATAGACTTCCGCGAAGGATGCACTGGTGTATCTTCTCTCACAGCTCCTCGGATCGCAAATAAGAGCTTTGGGACGGCCTGCAAGATGGCGGAGTGGAACTACTTCCGGTTCAAGCGAAGAAATGACAAAGAGACTTGAGAAAAAAGGGGGAAAAAATACACACAGCCCCTCACAAAAGTATTGGGACAGCTCCTAGTGTCCCAGTACTTTCGTCCATAAAATGTTTTTCAACTATTGGATCGATTGCCATTAAATCTTGTAATGATGTTCCCCATACAATGAAAGCTACTAAGTACATTGCATTACATTCATTTAGCTTAAGCTTTTATCCAAAGTGACTTACAACTGCTTTATGTGTCAGAGGTCGCATGCCTCTGGAGCATCTAGGGATCAAGTGTCTTGCACAGGGACACACTAGTGGATGTGTTGCAGTGGGAAATAACCCCAGGTCTCCCACACCAAAGGCACATGTCCTATCCACTCACCAAAATCAAAGTGACTTAATAATCTTTTCTTCTGGTGCCACCAGAAGGTTAAAGTTCTCAATTACCCAGTAAATTATCGCACATGTATTGGATGGCTTGGCCCAGACGATATATCCTACTGACTTTAGTCATCCTCTGACTTTTCATCTAGTCACATCATCTGTGGTTTATGACCAAATACCTGCAGCCTCAGCTGTGTTTGTCATGGTCCATGGCCAAGTGCTGAGGCAGATACCGAGAGGTGGACCCAAATGCAAGACATCAGAAATGCTGGTGCAGTAATAATGTTTAATCCAAAACAAAAGTCCAAACTGAGTCCCAAAAGCCGGGAGCACACAGAGACACAGCAAAGACTAAACAGAGCAGAGCACATTTAATCAAGGGCAAACGAGCAGGAAGGGAGCGGACAGGTGTAACACATCAGGTTAATCAGATGACATGAAACAGATCACTACAAAATAACAAAGGAAGTCATGTACACAGCAACACACAAGGGAGAATTTAACAAACTAAAAACAGAAAACACTGAACCAATTAATGACTGACAAAATGAAACACAAATCACAGACAAATGAGAATACAGGGAGAGAAAAACATCATGAGTGGATACATAAAAAAAAGACCAAAACCACAACAGCGTTTACTGCTAATTGGCTAATGATCAGAGTAAAATGTGTCTGTTTTCTAATAGTTTGAACCTTTCATTGTTGATTTACTAGTGTAATCAAAAACATTGCTCTGAAGCTGAATTCTGTAAGAAGTGTTTAATATATAGTAATAAATATAGCAACTTCTGATGAACACTAATTTCCGGCTTAAATAATTAATTTCCATTTAGTCCCGTTGACTAAAGCTTTAAATGGAGGTGAAGTTGTTGGAAATTACTAGAAATGAAAAGAAACCTGGTTGTTTGATCAAAGCGACTTTGAAGCCATGAAATTGAAAGTTAATCCTAGTTTAACATCAGAGTGGAGCTCAGCTGCTGTGAAGGTGTTCGGTAGCCGAGCTGATCAGGATCTAACTGCTGGCTTTGATCACCACCACCACCACAGACTTGAAACAATATTTCAGACTAAAGTTTAAAAACTTGTCAAGAACAGAAATCAGTACACAGTACTTTACCGCTCCCAACAAGACACATGCTGTTCATTTAGTCATTTATAAATCAGTTTGTTAATAAATTATTTGCATTAGAAGCAACTCTAACCCTGTTAACTCCAATCTTTATTTTTTTAATCACCGTAATTGATTATCTTTCATTCTGCCATTAGTCCATTATGTGTTATTTTTAGATGATGTCTGTGATGTGGGCTTTAATTAGCACTTCATAATGCTGCATGATGTTGTTCTTTCTGGCATAGACCGGCTTTATTTACCCCCTTTTTAGCCACACGAATACTCAATCATCAGGTAGGTATTCAATTTTTTCATTTGAATATTGTTTTTTTGCATGCCTGACCTCCTCTCACAGTGATGAGCAAAACGCTCCAGTTCACCTTAAAGGGAAACTAAAATGAAGCCTTCAGCTGTGTAGGAGCACTTTAAACTGAGTGATTACAACAGCAGTTAAGGGGATCATTTACTTTACAGTTGCTCAATTTCATTACAGATAACAGTCAAATAGCCTACATTTTAAAGTTAATCAGTAACCCACACTAAACAACCAACATAATGAACAGATTTAAATAGTTCTATCAGGCTGATTGTAGAAGAAGATTTAAGAAGAATGTTACTTAAGTGAAAATGTACTTAAGAGTCCTAGAGCTCTGTTCAGGACTGGCAGGAAGGCTGGTGGGCAAGCAAACAAGTATGCAGGGTTGGCAGCGACTCAACACACAGGAAGAAACTGTAGCAGACAGAAACAAGACGTTAGGTACTGATCAACAAAAACCCTCAACTGGACAATCATTCGAAGAGCTGGCCAGAGCAACATACCACAAAAGGTAAAATGATAAACTAGCAAAGAGCGGAGGAAGAACCAGAGTATTTCACTGCATAGGTTGATTGCTTCATGAGCCACAGGTGCGAGATGCTGCAGGTGGCGATGAGCCAGACACACCCACAAACACACACAGACAGGACATGACAGACAAAACTGACAGAGACAGCGGGGAAGGGGAAACGGAGAAACATGAGGAAGGGAGAGGTGACAAAGCCTGACATGACAGTTGTAGTTGGTTGATGTTGAAGTATTTTGTATCAGACCGCAATAAATTTTTATTTCATTATGAAATAATCTGCTAATTATTTTATCCAGTTATTGATTGTAAAAATCATGAAAATAAACCCTTGTTCTGTCAGTTCAAACCTCAAAATTATTAAAATAATCAAAAGGAAAAGTAGCAAGTCTTCACATTTGTGAAGCTGGAACCATGAAATATTTTTACATGATAAAAGTTCCACTAAAAGTTCTGGCAATCAACTAATGTATTAGCTGTACTTGTATAAACTGTTGGAGTTTAATTCATAACAAAACATCATATTTTATAAACTTTTCATATGTTTTGTGTGTAAAAATCTGACTTTGTAAAGTAACTGGAGCTGTCAGATAAATGTAGTGAAGTAAAAAGTATATTTCCCCGAAAGTTGCATGAAAAGAAAATACTCAAGTAAAATACCTCTAATTTGTACTTAAGTACAGTAGTTGAGTAAATGTACTGAATTACTGTCTCATTGCTGCTCTTGCATGGTTACGTGGGCAGCTATGGCTCATGAGGATTGAATTGTCCTTGTTTCATAAACCAATAAACAAGCATGTATAATGCATCTACTCTTAATAAGATATGTAGTTTTCATTGTACTCAGAAAGCCAAGAGGATGCAGTCAAAGCAGTAAACCCTGTCAGGGTCACAGGCAGATCTAGGACTTTAATGAACCGCTGCACTCATAGGGGATGGGTGTTACAAGTGGCCTCCAGCTCCCACATTTGAGTGTCCAGTAGAGTGGCTGCACATGTTTAGGCTATTAAAGAATGACATTGTAGACTCTATATGTGAAAGCAAGGACAAATAATGTGGACCAAAAGCAATCTTCAGATTTGGTTTGGCAACACACTGTGTTCACACTCTGTCCTACAGATGTTTCCCCACACGGACTTCAATGATCAATGCCGTGCAAGACATCCTGAGTTTTCTGAAACCTTCTTGACACAGCAGAAGTTTCAGTGTGCTTTTTCAGCAGTTCAGTTGTTTTGTGATGGTGATGATTTGTTTTCATTTAAAACACGTGCAGTTCAATCACTTGTTACAGACTAATTGAAATCTTGTTGTCTTCTCCCTTACAATCAGTCTCGTCATCAGCCTTTAATAAATTCAAATCAGAGCTGTTGACTCTAATTTAATAAGACTCAATCTGACTTTGCAATGTCAGACAGATGGTTGTGTAACCCTATGAGCCAGGAAACAGCTGCCGCTACGTCTGGTTTCTCCTCCCACCGATCACATCTGAACCCAGAGAGACCGTGAGAAGATGAAGCAGCTCGCAGCTGAGCAGAGGTGGAGAATCATGGCAGCCGGTCACATGCAGAGTGAAACACTACAGCTGACTGAAACTTCACACATCAGTCCAACAATCTACTCAGAGATCTACTGCAGAGTACTAATCGATATGGCCCGTTTCAGGATTTCAATCCATCACTCCTAACTCATTTTCACCAGAAATGGACAGTTTTGTCATTTAGCAATGCTAAACTTGTGGACGTTAAGACACTAATGGAGGAGGGTAGAGTCTGTTTTTTGTTTTTTTTTGCCTTCATGTCATTGCCCGGCTCTTGGACTGCAATAAAAACGGAGACACACGGGTAAACTAAATAACAACGTAATTTATTTACAACAAAATAAGCAAAACCAACAAAAAATCTGTAAAGTCAGTAGTGTAAGGAATGGATAACGGAAAATGTGCTTGATGTTGTTGTGTAAAAACAAACAAACGCAAGTGGATGGTTTGTTGCTGTAATGCAAGAGAAGACTAACTGTTGTTTGGATGATTTATTCATTGATAGGTAGATTGATTGCTGAATAAGGTTTAAACACTTAATCTCACTTAATGTGCCGCGTTGGTGCAAAACATTACATCACTTTTATCAAATATTTCTGCTAAATCCTTTACTTCCTGAAAAATATCCTCTATTAATGAAAATCCAAGCTCCACAGCTGAGACTCCTGCAGGGCTCAATAACGGAGGCAGGTTCTGATATTAGCAGAGTATTAGTTCTTCTGGCGGTGAAATTAAATGTCCTGAAATAAGACGTCACTCACTCAGCATCTATAAGCCATAAATGACGAAAACAAACTATTCATTTGAATTAAATAAGAGAGGGATCAGATGTAGTGTAAGGGGAGAGGTTGCTTCTTCATTTGGCAAACAACAAAACTCCAAAACAAAACATAACTGATTTTCTCTGCAGGTATTTAAAACATCCACACACTTTACTTTCTTTTTGACTCTGACCGCTCAGTCCACAGGAATCTTTGAGAAATATTATTCTCATTTCCAACACAGAACGCTAGTTTACTTTTTCTGAATGGACTAAATTGACCAACAACCGTCCTGGCTCACTGAGGCTGACCGGCCTTATCACAACGCAAGTAAATGAACTGGCAGCTGCAGCAGCACAACTCCCCTAGACCCTGAACCTTATCAGTGTGAGCCAGCTGAGAGCAAACAGCCGCCGAGCATACCTGCCTGTATTCACACGGCAGGACCTCCATCGCTGTCTGCACACAGGAGGAGATACTGAGGAGGAGGAGGAGGAGGAGAGCGGGTCTGCATGACAGAGATGAAGAAAAGATGGAAACAAAGTTATCTGTGTTTTTGTGACCTAATAATAGTATTGAGTTCAGAGGCTCATTTGCAGCTGAATCAGTTTGTCAGTGAAACATACCGAGCGGTTAAAACAAGTTTCCATTACATCGGAGAGTTGTTGGTTGCTTAGTTCACTCAGATTTACTGAAAACAAGCGATGATGATGACAGCTCTGAATATTCATCACAAGCTGATGACTATTCCTCAGTTATCATCCTATAATTCTGCAGAAACCTTGGATTCGTTAGCACCATTTTATGGCAGATTTATTTTACACAATGGTATAAATTTCAAACACTTTCTCGAGTTTCATCCATTTCCATCTGCCATCGGATGCTGCACAGGATAACTGGGCCGATATTAGAGCCATCCTGACAATTGCGTTCCTGATCTAAGGCTTGTCGTAACCGATTATTGGCCCAAATTATCCTGTAGTGTGAGGGGTTTACAGACATTATCTTAAGCAGCCAATGACCGGGAAGCGTCACCGGCGTGTTTTTGCTCACACTGATTCCCTCTTCTTCATCCACAGTTTGATTCTCTTCTTGTTTTTTCTGTGCAGCACACAGAAGGTCAACCAGCTGACAACGACAATCTGCCTCCATGTTTGTTTCTTTCTGAAAACGCCAAGTGGGGGGTGGTCCTGCATCTGGACTGAATCATCTGCTGCGGGCGCTCTTCAAATTAAAATATTAAAAATCTGTTAATTCTGTCATCATGTCAGTGGTATCCCACATTTAAAGTTGGTTAAGATATAAAAACCCTCTAGTGTGCACCAGGTAAAAGTCACAGTTTCTCATTTTTGTGGTTTCCGGGAAGGCAGGCATTAGGAATTATGGACAGGGGGACAACATTTTTCAAACTGGGCCCCTCATCGACACCCACTCCAGCACCACCTCCACCAGCCACCTTAAGTTCTAATACAACAATGGGCAATTTCAAACAAGCTCTTGGCCATTAGCCTTATAGTGACACAGATGGAGTCCATAACAACTATTTCCAAATTCAGTGTTGTAGACCCACTCAGGCCATGCTCGCATACAGTTTTTTTTTATTTTTTTTTTTTTAATCTTTCAAATTAGACTGGGATAGTTATGTTCCTTAACTTAAATCAAGACAAGAGAAGAAAAAAATGGCCTTCAAAGTAGGGGTGCAACAACTAATCGACATAGTCGACAAATCGATTATTAAATTTGTTGGCAAAGAATTTAATAATCAATTCGTTCATGACGTCATCGGGCCGTAACGACACCATCAGCTTAACGGACTAAAGTGATGTGAACAGTAAAGTTACTAAATCAACATCAGCGCTGCAGTAACACCTTCACCACCACCGTTCCCGGCTGGAGAACATGTTGCTGCCGAGTTTGCAAGATTAGACAACACCGGACAATTTCATACTTTCTAAAGAAGAGAAAACGGTTCTCCTGGCAATGCGTGAGGCGGCGGCTAATCCGCCCCAAACTCCTTTTAAAAAAAAATCTGAGTTTTGTGAGTTGCTGAGTTAGGGGAAAATACATAAACATTGTGAAACGCTGTCTACTATAAAATTGTTAATTTATAATCATTATAATAATTATTGACCCCCTGTAAATCGGCAAATGTAATGCATCACGTTATTCCTTTCTTTGTATATGGTGTCAGTTTGTCCCGGTGTGTTGCAGTACTGGCGTGTAAACTGCTCAGTCACTAAACAGCAGATCAGCTGCTCAGGACTTGATATCAGAGGAACTTTCTGTTGCTGCAGCAGAAACATTCATTAAAATATCCATTTAGTATTTATTTTATTGTCGTGACTGTTAATTAGCACATGCCTAAAACAACCTCAAGTTCAATTTAAAAGCTGACAGCTAAATAAGACGCATTGTGTAATTTTGCAATTCATAATCCGAATAGTCGATTATTCGTTTCAATAATCGATAGATTAATCGACTAACAAAATAGTCATTAGTTGTAGCCCTACTTCAATGCTTGAGTGATTAGAGAAAAGTAAAATCAAAAACTGAAGAAATTACTGCAAAGCATTAAATCATAAAATCAAATTATGAGTGAACAAATAAACATACTTCATCTATCAAATTCAATTTTGAGGACTACATTAATCAAAGTATTGGTCAAATTGTGTGCAGAACTGAAATACTGTATAGAGCATATGGCTGGGTCAGCTGAAAAGATAATAATTGTCATGGATGGCTGAGTGCAGACTTAGGTGTGGACCCAAACACAGACAACAGGCGTGGGAGGTGCAGTTCAAAATATTTATTAACTCAAAGGTCAAACTGAAACAAGCTTACATGGGAGCACAAGGTAAAGTCCAAAACTGAGGAAAATCCAACAAGCAAAGATAATCCAGAGCA